TAATGAGGATTTGCCGACACAAATGCTGTGCATCACAAATCGGTAGGACTGAAACCTCTCAGAATGTGAAGGGTTTCTCATGAGGATCTCTGTTAGTTAAACAGAAGAGGCAGTCAGAGCCAGCACTCTGCACAGTCACACACATGCACTCCCCTGCCTCACTTGAAAAATGTTTAAATCACGTCCTTATGTTTACAGCTATGTAAGCACATCTTGATCCGTTACAGTACATTGTGTGACGGAAGCTTGGCTGCAGACCATGGAATTGGGAGGCAAAACAAAATTTCTAACGCTACAAAAGGAAAGCAGACTGGCCAAACAAAGATACATGAGAAAACTGAGGTAATCATAAAATGTTTACTGTGTGGACTGGAAATACATCAAAAGTTAAAGTAATGTGAAAGAAATGAAATAACAAAAATCTTTTTTCTTTTTTTTACAGGAAATCTCAAACTGCCCTGAGAGCACAAACAGCTCAGGAAACCACCTTAATCCATCGCTCCGTGCTGGATTATTGCTCCAATCTCTTTTCACTCTCCACAAAGAGAGAGAGAGAGAGAAGAAATAAAAACTTAGTGTAGATTTTCAGACTATTGAACTAACTGGCTATTGAAGCACAAAAGTACAGTCTCAACAAAATGGACACAAGCCTTACAAAGGGTCATATTAACTATTTATAACCACAGTCCACAGTGACATCTGGAGCACAGATACGGTGTTTGTAAAAGTAGAAGTAGATTTTGCATCTGTGCGTGTCAGTTTATACATAAGCATTCAAATATTTTTGTTATAGCCACGTGTCATCTGGTTCAGTGTTACTTTAAAGTGAAACATTACGTTGGAGGTAAAGGGAAAGCGTTGGGCGAATACATATGGCAGATCTTGTGTCAGTCTGGGTGGGCAGTGCAGAGTGATGGATTTATGAGGGGGGTCTCTTTTTTTTTTTTTTTTTTTTAATGTTAGTTTTGATCACTAACAGCCTTTTCTATACGGCAATTTCTCAAAGAACTCTGGGTAAAAATAGAGCAGAAGCTAAATGAACCAAGTGCAAAATCAAAGAAGAATTATAAATGGAGGATCTTCACAATTCTAACATCTAAAACAGAAGAAATTAAGGGGATATGGTGCAGATTTTAAAGTAATGGGATTCCCCTGAATGTGTATTGGCAACAAAAGTGTGGAATTCACAAATTTCAGTGGATGCTATTCCGTGTTTATGGATCATTTAACAATCTGGCCATGGAATTTGAACTGTCCCCCGACGAGTGCAAAGATAAATATTAGTCAAAATAATCATAAATGGGTTTATGCAGGCAGTTTGACTCTTTGCACAGAGTGACTCAGTGCAGAAAGTATGGAGTACTGTTGCATTAAGCAATGTTCTCATAGTTCTTTGCTGTGATATTACAGAAGAAGCTGCTTAAATACCACAGTGGTGCACATGTGCAGGATAAGTGTGGGAGCAACAGTGACCTGCGCACATGTACAGAGTTACGTCTCTCTTTTAGGAGTACATTGGTTCAGCCCTTGAAAGAACTTGTTAGAACAGTTTAAGTTTTGCTTCCTTTGTAATGTGTTGCCGTTAAAGCAAGACTTGTAGCTGCAGGTCTAGAATGAAGAATGTTTTACTTGAAGTACTTCTTGATATAACAGAAAATATTTCTATGTGCCCATGACTCCTCCTTGCAGCGTTATAATTATAGTACCACTTCTAGTTTAACCAGTATGAAATGACTTAATCGTACGTGCAGTTTAAGTCAAGATAGTGCAGCTATGTTATCTTAAACAATTTGAAAAGTCATCTGAATTTAAGTCAAATCAAGCAAATAAAATCTGTGATGGTTTTAGAGAAACAGTGCTGCAAAATGTGACCCTGCAGATGTATAAAAAAACTCTTACATTCATGAAACTCTTAGATTTCAGCCCCATAAACACAGCACCTATGGTCTTAACCATTGTGTTTCAGCTTTTCTCTGATGACTGATAAGATCAAATAATCATGAAAACATTCAGATATCCCCATATCATTTAATTAAATTGCAAATTGTTTTCCAAGTTTGTTTAAACCGTATCTCCATCGATTGTCAAAGTGTTCATATCTGAAATAAGACAGCGATGCGCCACGGCTATTGACGCAATCTCTGATAAAAAGTTACTGTCCTGAAGCTCTGGGACATTGCCATCATGTTTCTAAATCATTCATCTCTCCCACATTCCAGCACCTAATGAATGTTATTTTTTATTTTATTTTTTTTTTAAAAGAATCTCTTACTTCCATTTGTGGTGGATCCCAGCATCCAGCCCAAACAATCTAATTTGGCACAATTTATTCCTTCTTTTTTATCATAGCTCCCCTGTTATATAAGCCTTTCTACACAAGGCCCTGCCAAGAGAAGCACTGCTTTGACAGCTTTTCAGCTTAGGCATTTGTTCCACAAATTCTGTATAAAGGCTCTCCACCCAGCGGACCAAATACGCTGCAGGGCAAGGTGCAGTTGAAGTCTAACTTAGGTGTGTGAAGACTTATGGACTGTGAACAGATGCTGTCACTCCCCCCTCTGGATCTGTCTCACTGTTCCATTACATTAAGGGTCACTTCTTTCCCCCTCAAGCTGTCAGTAAACAGGCAACTTGAGTGATTTAGAAGCTGAACTGGAAGTCCAGTCCAGAAGGGTGGGACTGTGGAAAGGTCACTTGCCTACCTGTCAGGGCCTCAGCATTGGAGGAAGAGGGAGAAAGTGACCACAGGGTCAGACAGTAACACTATATGAAGATACATTTGATAGGCCACGCGATACTTGTAAACAAGTATAAATAAGTCATTTGTTTTCTGGCATGCGCAAGTATCTCGTTTCACTGTGTCCAAAAATGCAAAGATAAGTTTCGGTGCATTTCATATGTATCTATTCATATATAAATTCATAATAAATATTCATACATTTATTTCTTTTTTTATATAAAAGAGACAGGATTTCCTTCTATCTCTTCTTCTTCTGCTGCCTCCATTTCTGCTCTATCCCAGGATTGTCCGCTCAACATCGACATCTGGTGTTTAGTTGAGTGACTGCAACGAGTATAAATCAGAGAGATAAACGGTCACACTGCCACGCTGATGCTGCCAATCCTTTATTCCATTCCACTGCTATTTCCAGCCTTAACTTGTTTACTTTTTAGTCATGTGAAAGACTTAAAAAATATCTTTGTTGCCACAACCTGTGATTCTTCAGTGTTTATTTCACACAACCAGCTGGTCTCCAGATTCAGTTCTAAATATTGAAACATGTTCGACTGACTGCAGCTGAGGTGTGGCTCCCCCCCACACACAATCAGATTTTTGTACCAGAAAGGCATGGCTATTAGTCATGGATGATGGGAGACTCTGGCAAACTGGAAATTGTGGGAAAAATCTGGTGAAAACAATGTTGCAGAGTCTAATGAATTTAATATAGCAGAGGCAAAAGGAGAAATAAGTAGAAAAAAGCAAAAGCAATGCTGACTGGATGTACAGGGTAGAGCATCTGATACATTTAACTGTAAAGTTTGGAGCCCGAGCGGATGGATGCTGAATAAGCTAAAGTTTAAAGGTCAACCTTTGGAAGAACAAAAAAAATGAATATTTTCTGATTCAAGAACAAGTAATATAAATATCTTTGGGTATGGAAATCATTTGAAAAGCATTAGTTTTTTTTTTTGTTTTTTTTTTTCATTGCTCAGTGGCTCTGCAGTTCCCATTGTTGCAATTGTGTGACAAAAACTGAATAGTTTTGTCCTCAGCCTCTTGTCGTCACCCTTTCTTGCCACAACTTCTTGGTGACATTTTTGGCCCCCTGTCCAGGCGAAGTATATTGTGTGATTGGTCAGAACTAACATGTTGGTTAGTGTGGAAAACAGCTTCAAGTACTCTTCCAGACTTCCAGAGACGGTTTTTCAGAGAGCAGGGTGGATAGTTTTAAGGAACAATTGTCCGAGGCCTTGAAGAAGGGCCAACTGTTGGACCAAAACACTGAGCTCCCCCTGCTCTGTTCTGGTCAGAAGCTCTGTTTTTTTGGCTTCCAATAACACGGAAAGTATCTGACGTCCTGCAGCTCGTCAGTCACTATTTCCTCCTTCTTCTCCAAACTTGTGAACTCATAGTAGTTGTTCTTCTTTCCACGATCGCTGTGTTTACTACACTGTTGTAAACCACACATCATGATAAAGTACCTTGATGGACAGTGCAACGGGAAGGGTTTCACAGAAGCTAGGCTCAGTGGGGTGTATGCTAAAACTAATGTCCTGCAACCACGTGAGCGTGCATCAACTGTGGCATCGATCCGACCGTGCTGGGTCCTTCAGATCTGATGAATCTCTTTGTTCCATAATGTTATTTTGGCAAAGAATGGCAATTGTTTGTCATTGTAAAAAACAAAAAAACAACAAAACAAAAAAAAAAACACTGTTATAATTTATAAGAACACCGCAAATGTCCAAAATGACACACAGATAATAAAGAAACAACAGCAACATATAGTTTTTACATGTGTATGTGTAGGAAAGTATTAAAAATGGATATTGTCCACTGCTTACAATTGACTCATAACAGAGCTGTTTGCGTGTTACAGAACTCCAGTAAGTCTACCCCCTGGAGAAATGTCACAGAGATATTCTCCAGCTGTTCAGAACTGGAAACAGTTTAACCAGGACTTGCTTTTAAACAGAACTGGAGGCGCGTAGCTCACCTTTGATCAGTTTGCAACGATGCAGTACGTAGGTGATTAATCCCCTCTAGCTTAATAAACTAAATACAAAATAATTACCTTTCTACTCATAATCTATTAAATAACAAAAAAAAAGAGAAAAAAAATCGGGTAACCGTTTTAAAAATCAGGTACTTAATGTTTTTCTATCCCCCAAGCTCCTTTCAAAAAGAAAGAAAAAAAAAATCAAAACTCCAAATTTAAGCTGGGAAAAAATATATATACATTGTCCCTGTTCGTGATTTAAAACAAGAAAATACTCACAATGGAGTTGAGTCGATTTTATGCAGCCGCTTTCGTGTGATTAACCCAATTTGAACTGACGGTAAAGATACAGTCCGCCTATCCTCAGTGCGATCCGCGTTAGTGTGGGCAAACGGCGAAACGGGCTGCGACGTCACGTCAGGAGCGTCTCCATCAGACTGCGCGCTCCGAGGTCTGCCGCGCGCAGCTCGGAGGGGAGGCGGAGAGAGCGCGAGGCGGGGAGGGCGCAAGGAGCAGCGTAGGAAGGACAAGCGGAACATCTAATAATAATGTGGGAGATTTCCGTGAATGGGTTTCATGTTTGAAATGCATTCTTTCACCGAGAATCAGACAGATTTTTATGCTGCTTCTCCAAACCGTTAGGCTGTCGTGTTGGTGAATATTTTAAAAGTAAATACGCACAAAAATGAAGGTAAATAAATCTGCGTTTACTGTTTTTCATAACGAACCCATCTACTCACACTGAAAAGTATTGGATGAGAAAAGGGGTGCTTGTTAAAGTTTATTTGGGGAGACGCTTTCTCATACTGGTCCAGTTTTTATCCCTGGTGAGCTCCAGCAGACTTTATTAGCTGAACACTGAGAGAGTATGCAGTACATCAGAGTTTGCCATAATCTAGTTCACAAAGCAAAGGATGCCTGATCTGAAGAATTATGTTCAGGTGCAAGGGCATTTGCTAAAGTGGTTTGGTCAATATCCTGCCCCAAACTATGCAACCAGCGTGTTAAAAGAAGACAAATTTAGAGTTTTGATTTGGAAACAGTAAGGACAAATAAGATAATTTTATTTATATTGCACATTTTCAGCAACAAGGCAGTTCAAAGTGTTTCACATGAATTAGAAGGAAATACAAACAAAACAACAAAGCCAAAAGAAAGACAAAAAGGTAAAAGTATAAAAAATATTGGTTTGATAAGAATGAGTTATCCATAATTTATAAACTAGTAGGGAAAGTGGGGAGAAACTTCAAAAATGTAACATATACCAAATGTTCCTGTTTTTCTACTTTATTCCTAGACACAGCTCACAAGCTGTTATTCTGCTGAACTTGCCCATCTTTATGAGATACCTATATTTCATTGTTACTTGAAGACTCAATACATGATAATAAGGGCAGCTTAGATATATTTTTCATTACTTTTCATTGGGGATGCACAATATATCAGCACATCAGTGTTGGCCAACATTGGTCATTTTTAACTATATTGATATGAACAGCCAATATTTATTTTCATCTCGATGCCATCTGTTTCTGCTAGTTCCTTTTAAAGTTTTCAGAATGGTAGAGAAATATTTTATTTATAATATAACATTATATTTATAATATATGATCGGCAAACATCGGTTTTCGGCCACAGCAGCATTATTAATATCGGATATTGATATCAACCCAAATTTTCATTTTGGTGCAGTTCTACTTGTCATCAGTCTTACTCAAAAATGTGTTAAAATTGATCAGGTGTGGGCCCATGTTCACGCATGTTATTACATTAATTAAACTGTATCCACTGGTCAAAACAACAGTGCAATTCCCACATCTTGTGGCAAAGAATCCGACTCTCAGATGTTTTTGTTTTACTTGAGTGGATGATCAAATATTCCTCCCATGCCCTGAATGATCTCCAACTACGCACATTATTTTTGACATCAGGCATGAATTTAATGTGTTCTGCTAAAGAGTAGCAAACTCAAATACATTCTTGTCTTATCAGCAAATATAGATTTGGCACAGACAAAAAAAGCTGTCTTGCAAAAAATGGAAACCTTGGAGTGCACATCCCACATAATACAGGCCTCTCAAGTCGGTGACACGTTTCCTCTTCTTTACAGGAAGGAAATTAATTCCCTTGTCTCTAGCGGACTCTACACCCATTTGTCATGACATCTGGTTCTTGCAGGGAGTAAACAGAAACATAAAGGAAGGTGAAATGAAATGTTAAAAGCCGCCGCCATATAAATCTTTGGAGCTCCAACCATTTGTGGCTTTAAAGAGGCAAAATGATTCCTTTCACACACGTGAAAGAGCGCGCCCTGGGAATCTGCTGCTGCTAAATAAAGATAAGTCACATTTGAATAAACTTGCCTCGCTTTAGAGTGTATCCATGTGCATGAGAGCATGAGTGTAATTGCTGTCAGTTCTCGGTAAATTGATTGGGATCCCAGTTGCGCGTCTCTGGGTGTTAACAGTCGCTGAATTTGTTTTGATTGTCGTGGATGTTTCGCAGGTTTTCATTCTGAATGAATCTAAAGGTTACGCCAAACGTTTTCCGGCCACATCAGATGTTTTGGTTTTCCCTATGTGAAACTTTGCTTCAGAGAGTCAAGCATAAATATAACAATATTTATATTGTTCTCATTTAATTTGATTGTTTTCTTCACGTTTTGCTAGTCCAGAGATAAAGCAGTAACCTTTTAAGGTTGGTGATTGTTCAGTTGCTGTTCCTTGTGTGCGGATCTCCAGTCTGGAAGGCTGTAGGATCTATAAGTTGCAACGACTCGCATAAAGCCTTAGACAGAGTCATTCTGGTTGATCTCAACATGTAATAAAACTATAGGGAGACTTTTATTTGTTGGAGAAGCTGTCTTTCAAGTCTGACCTTGGAAAAAGAGGTTCCAGGGATGGATTTTCCATGCAACGACTTAAAATAGAGGTTTTCCAGGTAAGAAACCCAGAGCCTAAAGGAGAGCTTCAACGAGGAAGCAACCAGTCTGTCCACCAACTAGAGAATGTTACGTGAGCACTAGATCCTCTAAAACATGTGTCAAACTCAAGGCCAAGTTCGGCCCACCATAACTTTTTATGTGGCTATGTTTTTATTCTTTTATGTGAGATTCATTTCCTAGTACCCAGTGTACTCTCCTTTGCCCCCTGTGTTACTTTTTCTCTCTATACACCTTTTCTCCTCTCACTCCCGGCTGGTATCTCCTGTTATATCCCGTTATTTCCCCGTCAGTACCTTGCCGGCTTTATGTTCCTGGTTTGTGTTTTTCTTCTGCTCTGGCTCCCTCGTTTCCCTGTGATTTTTGTATATCTTTGTTCATCAGTTTTCATCACCTACTTGCTGCCTCTCCTCGTCTGCATTTGGATCCACTTTAAAACCCGACAACCCTGTCAAACACTTACTGTTATAACTAAAGATAATGATGGCTATATGTAGTATTTACACAGTGGTAACAAACAATAGAGCACAACACACTTTTTAGATTTTTATTTGCATCCTTTGTCCTTTGCTTGTCAGCCGATCATGTAAAATCCTTCCAAAGCACACAGAGGTTTGAGGTCATAACGAGACAAAATGTGAACAGTTTCACAACCTAATCTGTTTTTTTCTCAAAGACTCCAAAGTAACTGAGGCGGTGAGGAAGATTCCTGCATGTTTGCACGCTGCGTAAGTCCAATTCGACTTTGCACAAGATATTCTATACTCTTAAGCATAGCGCACAAACAATCTCGCTGCTGATTGCCCGGATTTCAACACGCTGCCTGACCTGTCACCAAATCCCTGAGCAGTTTCTCCACCAGCCTTGCGGTTCTTGACTCTCACAAAGCGTGTTATTAACAACTCTCTGTCTGTGTTGTTAGCAGGCTGCTAAACTCTTTGTGCTCCTCTGTTATTAGAGCCGATGACCTTCAAATGCATTCAGTGTGAAGCAACACTTCTGGCAGAGTTAGGAAGAGGGAGGATAAAATCATACATGGAGCCGCTGAGGGAAAGCCTAATCACAAACTGAAAGAGATTTACTCTCTGACCACAGAGTATGTCAAAACCCAGATTTACCCAATTGTTATGACACCCTGATAATAAAGCTCCTTCGTGTTACAGTGGGGTGAGAACTGCAGTAAAATATCCAGCAGCTCAAGGCTGAACATATTAATGGGTCGACTGTACATTGGTTTTCAGATTGAGCATTCAAGAACCAGTCTTTAGTTTAGGAATTCAACATAAAGGTTTAGTGGATTCAAGCATCTGGATTTCCCCTTCATTTCACCCACTGACTCAAGCCTCTTCCTTGGAAAATCAGCTTTTATGTGCTGCTCAGCTCCTCTGCCAGAGCTCATGTAATCATAAGCGTGTCTGCCTTGGCCCGCGTCCACAGAATACAAGACATGGAGTCAAAAGGTTTGTGAGGGAAGGGGAAACACGGATTGGACCGGCTTAAATAGCGCGGCATGCCGCAGATTAATTGAAGACACCATTCGCAGAGAACATGCATTTTCCAGACTTTCTTGTGCAAACTTTTTTCCAAAAAAAGTTCCCTGAAAAAAGAAACTCCTTCTCAAGTTTCTAAATCACATTCAGTACTACTCCGGTCTATTTATACTGAGATAAATCAGGTTTTATCCTAGACATGTGCTTCCCCTTTACAGAGACATTTCAGCTATCGCACCATAATTGGTCTATTAAAAAGGATGTTATAAATAATGCATAAAAAAGTCAATACAGCTGGGTAAAGATGACCTGAAGAAATCAGAGTATTGACTTGATTTGACAGCAAAATAAAATATAAGGGCTTAAGTTTTACAATCCTGTTAAAATAGCTTTAATTTGACACAAATGCTTTATATGTCGGCTCAGGAGCACATTTATTTAGGAAAAAAATATAAAAACAGAGAAACATCTGCATAAATGTTTTCATTCCTGGTCGAACTCTACGCTTCATGCGCACTTTGACTGAAAAACCATGTCCAGTCCTCTTTTGTGGCAGTTTATCCACATAATAAACAGGGAATTAACAAGATTTGCCTTGCAAAGATTTTCTAAATATGTCAAATGGTGAGGTTATTTCTTGTCCATAGCGCTGCTTAGGTTACTCTGGATTTTCAGACGAATTTTTGCTCTGAACTCAGGACTGGTCGTTACAAACCTTAGCTTTTTTAGCATTGTGTTGATGATTTGGATGGACATCTTAACTCTTTCTGTGGTGCTAAGGGTGTGCACTCTCATGAAAACTTGCTACAGAAGCTCCTTTTTTGTCTTTCTCTGTTTTTAAACCTCTTAACCCCAGCAACAACATTGAAAGTGGAAATACTTTTTGGATTATCTGTCCTTTTTTTTTGTCTTTTTTTTTTTTGCTGACAGTTTTTGTGGGCAGACATTTGAGAATCTCTGCATGGTGTCATCATAATACAGAAACAGGAATGTTTACTTGATGCTAACGTGGTGATTTCATTTTGGTGCATTTTTTCTTGTAAATGC